AAAAAAATTTCTACAAATTTGTCATGAATAACTTCAATGCGAAAATGAGGACGCTAGAAAAAGGGGAGGATAGGATCGAATTTGGATCAGAGCTTTGGAATGAGAATGGTAACCGTCTTGTTGGGCTCTTATCCACCGCACGACTTTTTCATGACAACATCTGAAGAAACCGGCGGTAGGGAGAGTCGCCCAACGCTACGACGCAGGTCGACCACAATCTCAACAGCCGATGTTGGTGCTTACTAGACGTCCTATTGTAATCTCAGCAGTGGTTCAGATCACCGCCTTTTTCAAGCAGTGCAATACAGCCGGCTGCAAAAAAGACCTGTCACCCTGTTGGAGGAGGGAGAGAAGTCGTATGTAACGGCGTCACTTTGAAGGAGCTCCTGACCATTTGGAAATGGCCCATCGAGGAGGACCCAACGACTACGACCTGCTCCTCAGAGGACTGAGAGCCTACGGTGAAAGAGCCTCACTGCTTCGAACAAGGAACTTGGAATGGATTTCGAAAGCCACCAAGGATCTGTTAGAGAGGAGGAGAGCACTGAGGCTAGACCGGACTGCATATCTCGAGCGACTGGTCACCAATCCAGATACAAAACAGCTTTGCAAGAAGATCTTCGAAACTACAGGGAATCGAAACTTTTGGAAGCAGCACAAGGATGGGGAATTTACGTGTTCCGCTGACAACATTACCAAACCATGACGGGATTCGCCCACCTTCCCGACAAAAGATGGAATCGATCACGAAGAGATTTTACACCAATCTCTTTCGCTCGTCAACACCTGTGTCAAACCTAATTATTCCCACTGAAGAGATTCCACCACGGATTCTACCTGATGAGTGCCGCGATCCAGACCATAAAGGCAGCCACGGCTCCGGGACCGGACCCTTTTTTAGTAGAACGTTAACACCACCTGCCAGATCGTTTGGAAATGGATCCGTGATTGAAGATGTACAAATGATCATCTTAAGGGAAGGTGTTGTAAAGAATATATTTACTTGAATTGTAACTTATTCCAGCGATGTATTTTCCCAATACTATACGTGATACTCAAGATAACGGGATATGCGTCACGTCTTATGGTGTTTAACCGATGTTATTCCATAGGTTTCACTAGGTGAACCAGTGGTGAATACGACAATAAAGGAGGCCTCTCAGCCTTTTTGTACATGAACAGTTTACTGTCACTGCGTCCACAACAGTCTCCTTCAATGAGTTAGCTCTACTTTCCGTCTTCACTATAAGACAATGCCCCC